TTTATAATTCGAGTTGAGATGTGATTTTGTGTGAGAGCTTTTTACTGTAGCAAAAAAGTTAGATGTGACTGTTTCTGAGAGCTTTTTACTGTAGCAAAACTCAAATTCTAAATTCGAATCAGCGAAATGAACGGGGCCTTCAATTAATTTGAATTCTAAATTATAAACAACTTATCAAATAAGTTTAAAAGGATAAATTTAAATTATGTTCACAATTCAAATTCAAATTTAAATAATTACATTATTTCAATAATAAATAATTCTCAATTAATTATTTTTTGAGTATTTAATTTTAGAATTCCGTAATTCTAAAATTTCTATTTTGCCCTTTGTGTCTGGTAGAATTACAAGGACGACGCGGGGACTAATGGACCTATAATCCAAAGCTCCAATAAAATTAATAATTAATTAAACACTTTAATTAATTAATTAATTAATTCTATTAATTCCAACAGTTACTCTACTATAAACTTGGAATTGAACTCTCAAAATTATAGACATTAATTACTTCTAAACTGCGAAGTGTCCATTTGATATAGTCATTACATATAGATCAATCCTCCATAAATAATTCATAATTAGAGTCAGGTAGAATCCGTTAACCTCTCTAATTACATCTGCATCCTTGAGTACCATTGATTTTATATCTGCCTTGAGTACCATTGATTCTCTAATGGACAGTGATTCATAAAACACATTCATGAACCAGAGCGCTCTTACTAATCCAAGTACCGAATCAACACTCAAGAGAATTATTTATCAACTTCATTCTCAGGAAGGAATGGATTCCATCTCGTATAATAACATTCCCAGCTACTTATTTCATCATGTCTCCAAAATACAAAGAATAGGATTCAGGGTCTCGAAATCCATACTGAGTAAATCAAAAAACATAAATCCACAAATAGGAGTTTGTTAATAACTCAAGATTAAGATCATTCTATATATGACCATCGGTAGACTCAATTAGAATTTTCATGATTAATGGAAATTATTAGAAATTCATATTGTGTCTGCATTCATGTTCCACATAATCTTATTATGCGTAATACACTCATTCAATATCTCAGCATATTAACAGTACGGATAGCACCGTTCTATTCTAAATGGGAATGACATGTATTAATAATGCTTTAATTAAAGATTCTGAACTTTAATTAAATTCATTATGAACAATGTTTTTTATTATTATCTTTAAACACTATCCTCTCGTATATAACACTTATATACTATGTTTAAGGTTCATAAATATTCACAGAATTTTCATTTGATATTCATAAAATATTCATAAATATATGCACATAAAATAATGAATAAACTCTTTTATTAATTAAATAATAAATATCTTATTACAT